TATATATATATATATATATCCTGGTGTGGCATTGTAGGATAAGCACTGGACTGCTAACCACAAGGTCGCCAGTTCAAACCCACCAGTTGCTCTCTGGAAAGCCTATACAAGGTCTCTGTGAGTCATAACCAACTCAACAACAGTTAGCAACAAGAATGCATACACGTGTCTCTGTGCACGTACAATCCACATATGTGTGGACACATGGGTTGTATGCATGTCCATGTGTCCATGCCTACACGTGTGTGTGCATGTTTTTGTGCTTATTACATTCAGCATCAGGGTTAAGTACCAGTGCCTTGCCTTCACTGTCTTAGAATTCATGAATAACAATGTCCGTTGAAGAAAACCACAAAATTTAAGGAACAAAATGATGTTTTTATTAAAAATTGTACCCATTAGCACCTCTCTGTCTTCCTACAAGTTGGTTTTGATTTTGGAAATGAGATCTGATTTCTTGCACAATCTCGGAAAGTGCCCTGGGGGACCCTCCAGACTGTCCCTGGCTGGTATCTAGCAGAGTTGGTGGGGTGGGAGGGGAGGGAACCGTGCAAGCCCAGATAGGGAACGTCTGCCTGGCTCTCACTCCGCGTTGCTGGGACATGGGGTGGAAGAGAGTCACGTGTGGAAATGCATGGGTGGTTCATGGTGAGAACAGCTACATGTGCACAAAGAGGGAAGGCCTACAAACCATGGTGCAAACTTCTTTGCAAACAAACCCAGGTTTCCACCAAGAGCAAGTACAGCTTCCAGACAGCTCCCCTTCTTGGTTGTGGAGAAACTTCAGCAGCTTTGGGGGCTTTCTTTCCTCCCAGCATCCCCCAGGTGCAGAGGCCTCCCATGCTACCTCACATCACATTCCTATCTTCGTTGTTATGTCACCTGAGAAAGTGTACCTTGAAAGCATGAGGGGGAGGAATATAGGGAAGGCTGGGCAGTAGGAGGTTCAGTTGGGCGGTTTATTGGGGCACGAAGGTGGTGTTGCAGGATCAAGATGACTTTCCACCCCACCGCTCTGCTTTCTGGAGCTCTGCGCCCCTGGGGTTCCCAGGTCAAGAGGCGCACCAGGTGCAAAACCAGTCTGGCGCCCTCTGCTGGCTGACTAGCTGCACTTATTTTAAGAGGGACCAGGCAGCTAGGTCTCTGGGAGACACACCTGTTACTCTTCAAGGTGACTTTCAGGACCACAGGGATAATGTAAGAAGGAAACACTGGTCTTGCCTTGGTTACAGAAATGCTGCTTGCCCCCCTCCTTTTTTATTTCCAGAACCAACCAGAATATGCAAGATCCCTTTCATTGTTTGGTGATTGTTTTCTTGTGGAATGAATGGACTCATGCATCCATCTGTTGCCCAGGAGAGCCTGGAAAGGCTGGTCCTGCCAGATGGGGGCTCTCTCAGGCTGCCACGTGGCTGCTGCAGCATTGTACAAACAATTCCATACCAAAAGAAACAAAGTTTACTAAAAACAGTGGGTACAGGGAATACATTGAGCCTAAAAAAACACACACAAAAAACTGCCATGTCACTGAAACCCCAAAAAATAGCAAACCTCTAACCTCCAATCAATCCTTCCCCAAACTACAACACATTCCAGACACATTCCCTTCATTTAAAGCGACATCCGTATGGCTTAAGTGAGTAGCCGGAGGCATGGAGGCCATGTTTTCCACCTTCTCTGTTTGTGGTCTTCTGAGGGATCCTAGGGGGTCCATAGCAGGGTCTTGTCCAACTTTGCTGTCTCCAGGCTGGTGAGGAGGATGGGGACCCTAAACTGAGGCAGGTCCTGTTGGTGGACAGTGGGTGATGATTCTCACGCAAAAGGAACTTTGGACAGAGCGTCTTGGATTTTTGGTTTGAATATTTACCCCCTTGCTCAGAAAAAAGAAGGAAGTAGGGAGGGAGAGAGGATGGATGGGGTGGAACCTTTCTAAACGTTCTAATTTTAGAAAAACAGAACAGGGCTTTTTCACCCAACACAATACCCTCCTTGTCTCCTGGGGCCTAGGCCAGCCCCCACCTATTGTTGCTCCTGGCCTCTGCCCTATGGAGGCCGACAAAGTCAAGTGCACTTGGGCACTAACTGGTCACCTTGGAGGACAACATCCTGTCCCCCATGCTAATGACTGAGGTGGGATCGTGGGAGGCCCACCATCAGGGCCAGCAGATTCCTTCCAGAAGGGGACCAGCCTGCCCTCAACCACCTCAGAGCTGTTGCAGGATGGATATGGTGGGCTGAGATCTGGTAAGATCTGGGCTTTGCAGCTTTCAAAGCAGTTCATCATCTTTTACTTCAGCTACAAACAAACGAACAACAGAAACCCCACAGGCTTCCAGAAAAGCTGTTAAGGCTAAAGGTAGGCCTGGGTGAACTGAGGAAGGACAGACAGGTGGGCTGGAACAGAGGAGGGAAGAGCTGTCCGCTTGCAGAGGATGGAGCCTCCGTGTGCACCGGGAGGGTCACCTGTGACTTTGATTTTTCTCAGCCACTTTGCTTTATTGAGAGATGCCATGACTCTCCGTATTTTCCCATGCACAAAGCAGAACAATGACTAGAAAGGCACCTGAAGACAGCAATTCATTCATTTCTTGTGGCATCTCTTTTTAAAAAAAGATAAAAAGGTTTAAAAAATACTGTGGCTAACAACACACGCAGCTACATCACAAGCGGTTCTGGGAAACTCCATCTTTCCTGCTGGTGCACTGGGGAGCTGGCCTGCGCTATGTGTTTGTACCACGGACTGGCTCGCTTAAGAACCGCGCGAGGCCCTGTATTTTCTTCCTGGCTCTGTATTATCAGGCATGTTGTTGTTGGGTGCCGTCAAGTCATTGCCAATGACGCCATGTGACAGGGTAGAACTGCCCCACTGGGTTTCCTAGGCTGCCATCTTCATGGCCTGGCAGTACGGCGATTAACGTGCTTGCTGCTAACCAAGTCAGCCAGAAAGATGATGCAGTCTGCTTCCGGAAAGGTTTACAGCCTGGGAAACCTGATAGCGCCGCTATAAGTCAGAAACGGACTTGGTGGTAGTCGGTTTAAACTTCATGGGAGCAGATCGCTAGGTCTTCTCTTCTTCCAAACGACTGGTAGGTTTGAACCACTGACTTAACGCTAACTGTTTACACCGTCCAAGGTCCTTCCTTCAGGTTTAAAGAGGGGGTCCCACGGGACCACCTCAACTAGATCCAGGTGCGGTTGTCTAGAACCCGTAGCCTGGGTCCACTTCCAGCAACAGATGCATCAATCAGGATATTTCAGTTACGCAGGGAGGGGAGTTGCAAAGCAGTAAGTCTGGGTGAGACATCGAGATGGGACCCAAGGAGGGTTATCGGTAGGGAAGATGGATGGAGAGCAGGATTCTGCTGGTGCGTCGGAAAGAGGAGGTGAAAAGAGAAAGCAGTCTATTGAGAGGCGCCTCTGAGATTCCTCTTCCCGCCCTCCCATGTTCTCAAACCCAGGGCCAGGGAACTGCGAGGTTCCCCGAAGTGGTAGAGGTACCGGCTGCCATGGCACCAGAGATACACCTTCTCGTAAAAAGAAAAGGAGAAAACAACAAAATCTGCTTCCTGCAGCCATGATACAAAAAGCTTTTAAAAAAACCGTTCTAATTGAAATCTAGTATTCACAAGTAGTTAAAATCCTCACTTATCAGAATTGTGTTTGTGTGTGTTTTCCCCCAACAAAAACTGCTGCTCAAGTTCTCGGAGTTGATTGTCTTAACAAAAATAGACGTATGCGTGTCCACGTCCGTGGGGGCGGCGCTCACACGAACGAGGAGAAGCCGGTGAGCGGCGTGCGGGCTCCGGGTTGCGGACCTGCAGGCGCGTACACGCCCGAGCTCTGCGTGGTGACCACTGTCTGCAAGCGTGCCCCGGGATCGCCCACCGCGCACTCCTCATAGCGGTAAGGTGCTGGGGCCTTGCCGCTGGGGGGTCGGCGTTTCCAGGAGTTGTAGTAGGTGGGGTCGCTCATGTAGTGGTTGACGAAGGAGTGCTTCAGGGGTTCGTCCTCGTAGTCTGAGTCGGTGGCCTGCAGGGAGAGGGACAGTGTGAGCAGGGGGCACAGGAGAGGGGATGCTGCGCCCCTAACACAGAGTGAAGGTGAGAAGTGAGCCCCCCAGGTGTCTCTATCCCCAGACTGATGTTGTTACTGCAACCAGGGGTCAGGTGCTCCTCACAGGACCAGGCTGGACACAGAGTGGAGTCAGGAAGCTAAGTCAATAGGGAACCCCTGACTCAGGGCGGTTCACATGGTCCCCTACCCTGTGAAAGGCCTACAGGGAATCGGGAGGTCAGTTCTAAGAGGGCCGGGCACGTGTGTGCAGTTCAGTGCACAGAACAGAGGTGGGAAAACGCCGGGGCTTCACTTCGCTTCCTGAGGCAGCTTCCGATCAATGGAACGTTTGTGTGTGGTGAGGCGGTGGTCCTCAATGCCTTTCCACCCCCAGGTCACATCTGGGAGGCTTTGGGGGAAGGATGACCAGTACAGCATGACCAAATCCTAACAGGGCTCTATGTCCCTGCCTAGACCCCACATCAGAAACACCGCTGGCCATGCTGGGCAGATACTGTTGTTCCAAGACAGTCCCTTCAGGTGTATATGTTTATCTTCATAAAATACGTCAGCTGCCTCCAATCATCCACACGTTTTCTCTGCTAATTTTCTTAACAAGATGTTGCCATCTCTGGGACTGACATCAGCCATTGGGAGGAGAACATGGAGGCAGATGTAAGTGTTTCCAGGGACAGTGATGTCTCAGACCCCTGGGACCTACAGCTCAGCACACAGGGACTCGGCCCTAGCTCTGGCTGTGTCCTTGGCATTGGTTGAACAGGTTGATAACTCTCTATTGGTAATTCCAAACCCTTTTTAGCAAGCCAGAGGTGGACTGAGTTATTTGGCAGGTGTTAGTGAATAAAAAAGACTGAAAAAGAATTAGTGTGTTTGAATGATGGTGCTGGTGAAGAATATTGAAAGTACCATGGACTGCCGAAGAATGGGCCAATCTGTCTTGGAAGAATACAACCAGAATGCTCCTTAGAGGTGAAGATCATGAGACTTTGTTTCATGTACTTTGGACATATCATTGGGAGGGACCAGTCCCTGGAGAAGGGCATCATGCTTGGTAAAGTTAAAGGGATAGTGAAAAAGATGACCCTCAATGAGATAGATTGACTAAATGGCTGCAACTAATGGGCTTCAACAATTGTGAGGATGGCAGAGAAGCGGGCAGTGCTTTGAGCTGTTATACGTAGCATGGCTGTAAGTCAGAATTAACTCTGTAGTACCTGACAACAACAATGTGGACTGAATCTGGAATCTCAGGTTATGGTTAACATTATCAACTGCTAACTGAAAGATTAGAGGTTCAAGTTCACCCAGACATAACGCAGAAGAAAGGACTGGTGATCTACTTCCGGAAAGTCAGCTGTTAAAATCCCTGTGGAGTACAGTTGTAATTGGACACAGTTGGGGTTGCTAGAAACTGAGTGGATGGGAACTGGTTTGGTTTGGTTTGGATGGACAGAATTGTGTCCCTCACCCTGAAAAGATATGCTGAATTTCTAACACCACTCCACTACTTGTGAATGTGACCTTGCTTTCAAATAGGGTCTTTGAAGAGGTTCCCTGCTAGGTTAACATGAAGTCATTGGTGGAGGGTGTACCCTAATCCTGGCCCCATATGACTTCTTGTTAAGTGCCGTCGAGTAGGTATAATGATTTGTGTCCTTATGATAAGGGGAGAGGCAGATAGACAGAAGACGCCACATGAAGATAGGCAGAGATTGGAGATGCTGCCAGAAGAGGTGAGAAAGGATTTTGGAGAGTTTGGCCCTGCTGACACCCTGAACTCAGAAGTTGATTCCAGTTTGTGAATTTTGTTATAGCAGCTAACCCTGACTTCATCTGGTGGGAGGCCATTTCGAGGTCTAATTTCGTCTGCTTGGTGTAAATATTGTGTTTCACTGCAGAAATGTTCGTGTTTTTGATTAAGGAGCATTCTTGGGCCCAGCTGCATCCAATGTGATACATTGCCAAATGGGAAAACGCTGAGTTCTGAAAGCTCTCTGGCCTCGAGAGTTCAGATGAAAGCTCATGGACTGTACTTGTGGCTGTTGTTTGAGATTTTTTCTTCGTCTGTTTTCTAGAGGCTTTGAGGTGGGTGGCTTACAAGGTTAAGCTCAGTGTAAACTGAGATCCAAAGGAATGGGAACAAAGATTGCTGGGAAGAAGTCCCTTGAATTGGGCTTGTTACAATTCCTGACAGTGAGTTTGGTCCTACATTTCCTGAAACAGTGGGAAAAAACACATGCCGAGATTCACCATTTCTCATGATTTAGTCCCAGAACATCTCATCAGATAATGGACTGTCGAGATTGAGTCCCAGGATTCAGACACTGGGCTCAAACCCAAACCAAACCCACTGCTGAGGCATTGATTTTGACTCATAGTAACCAAAATGGAGCAGCTCCATTGCGTTTCCAAGGCATCTTTACAGAAGCAGACTGCCCATCTTTTTCCTGGGGAGTGGCTGGTGGGTTCCAACTGCTCACCTTTTGGATAATGCTTAAACACTGCAACACCAGGGCTCCTAAATTGGGCTCCTGGCTCATTACTATCTGATGATTAAAAATAAGAGTCAAGACATTTACCCTCATTAAACTGTATCTTCAGGTGCCCCAGGGGACCTCACATACCTTTTGCCAACTACAAATTGATGTTGCTGTTTTAAGTACCATTGAGTTGATTCCAACTCACTGTGACCCCCATGTGAGAGAGTAGAAACTTTCCCCATAGGACTTTCTAGGTGGAATAAAGCACCGGAACACAGGGTCAGCTAGAACTACAAGGGCGATGGTTCAAACTCACCAGCTGCTTCTTGGAAACCCTATACAGGGCTTCTGTGAGTTGGAACTGACTTGATGGCATACAACCACCACAACCACTACCGCCACCACCACCACCAATCTTGACAGGAGCAGAACTCCAGGTCTTTCTCCCAAGGAGTTGCTGGGTGAGTTCAAATGCCAACATTTTGGTTAGCAGCTAAGCGCTTAGGTAATGCATCTCTAGGGCTCTGAACCATGAGGGATGTTGTTAGGTGCCGTTGAGTGGGTCCTGACTCATAGCAACTCTATGCACAACAGAACGAAACACTGCCCAGTCCTGCACCATCCTCACAAGTGCCATTATGCTTGATCCCACTGTTCCTGCCACTGTGTCAATTCATGTCATTTGACCCATCACGTTACCAAGCATAATGTCCTTCTCCGGGGAATGGTCCCTCCTGGTAATATGTCTAAAGTCTGAGAGATGAAGTCTCACCAACCTTACGCCTAAGGAGCATTCTGGCTGTACTTCTTCCAACAAAGATTTGTTTGTTCTTCTGACAGTCCATGGGACTATCAATATTCTTCTCCAACACCAAAACTCAAATTCATTGATTCTTCTACAGTCTTCCTTATTCATTGTTTACCTTTCACATACATATGAGGCTACTGTTGAAAATACTATGGCTTGGGTCAGGTCCACCTTAGTCCTCAAACTGACATCTTTGCTCTTGAACACTTTAAAGAGATCTTGTGCAGTAGATTTGCCTAATGTAATACATTGTTTGATTTCTTAACTGCTGCATCCGTAAGTATTGATTTTGGATCTAAGCAAAATGAGTCTTCGATAACTTCAGTCTTTTCTCCATTTATAATGATGTTATTTATTGGTCCCATGTGAGGATTTTGGGTTTCTTTATACTAGGGTGCAATCTAAACTGAAGGCTTTCAGTAAGTATTTTAAGTCCTCTTTGCTTTCAGCAAGCAAGGTTGTATCATCAGCATATCTCAGGTTATTAGTCAGCCTTCCTCCCATCCTGATGCCACATTTTTCTTCATATAATCCATCTTCTAGGATTATTTGCTGAGCATACAAATTGAATAAGTATGGTGAAAGAATATAACCCTGGCACACACCTCTCCTGATCTCAAACCATTCAGTGTCCCCTTGTTCTGTTTGAATGACTGCCTCTTGGTGCTTGTACAAGGCTCCTCATGAGCACAATTAAGTGTTCTGGCATACCCATTCTTTGTAATATGATCCATAGTTTGTTATAATCCACACAGTCAAAGGTCTTTGCATAATCAATAAAGTACAAGTAAACATCTTTCTGGTATTCTATGCTTTTGGCAAAGATCCATCTTACATCGGCAGTGCTATCTCTAATTCCATATCCTCTTCTGAATCTGGCATGAATTTCTGGCAGATGTACTGTTGCAGCCATTTTTCAATTATCTTCAGCAAAAATGTACTTGCATGTAAGGATATTAAGGATACTGTTTGATGGTTTCCACATTCTTTTGGGTCAGTTGGCTAGGTAGCTGTCTTCCAAATTTCTTGAGTGAGTGTCTCTAGTGCTGCATCAGTTTGTTGAAAGATTTCAAATTGTATTCTGTCAATTCCTGGAGCCTTGTTGTTTACCAGTGCCTTCAGGGCAGCTTGGACTTCCTCCTTCAATACCATTGGCTCTTGATCATGTGCTACCTCTTGAAATGGTTGAACATGGACCATTTCTTTTTGGTACAATGACTCTGTGTATACCTTCCACTTTTTTTTTTTTTTTTTAATGTTTTATTGTGAATTATGTGATAGTTTACATGGGAGAACATTAGTTTTACATTCATTCTGTCATACATCGTTGCATT